TTCTGTAATGTCGACACAATCATCTTGTTGCATTGGCGGGAGATCTACACCATCAATTATACCCCTTGGAGCAACTTTTACAACCGCCAGCCATGAAATTCCCGTATTCCAAACTCGAGGATATGGAACAAAGGTGACTTGTTCTGCTTGAGATGCAAGTATAAAAGGCTCGAACTTATTGTATCGCCGAGATGCATTTACATCTACCACTCCGAATTTGTTAATTTGCACTCCACGACCTACCGTAGGATCAAACCAATCACATTTGAATTGAACAGTTTTCATTCTGACTAATACGGGGTATTCCACTTCAATTATCTCTTTGATGATCCCATAAAAGTCTACTTCACCTCGTACACAAACTCCATAGTTTGTAGTTGCCCGTTGAGTGCCATGACTATAAGTATGAAAAACATAGCCACATGTGAAATACATAGCTGCAGTAGTTATCTTCGAAATAGGACCTAGGAGCAACTCATGAAACCATACTGCATATGTCATGTCATCATGCTCGACTTGACCTTTTAACCACAATGCATAATGTTGGTCTTTCCGCTTGTTAATTTCATCTTCTGAAACACCGTCAATGCATTCTCGGACTTGACTGACGAAAGTGCTGAAATTTTAAAACATTGTTAAGGACATTTCGTCTGTTCAATCAAATTTTAATCATGCATGGTTATAATTATGTACCTCTCGTAAGGTGCCAATTCCTCGCAATTCAGAAGTATATATGTATGTGCGCTGTGGTAGTCTTGTTCGTTTGACCAACAAGTTTCTTTTAGTTTCCCACTTAGACGTCCAATTGGTGAGAATATATCAGGCACACCTTCTACTGCGTAACTTTGTCCTACACCCCCAACGTCGTAACGTCTTGGAGCCCGTTTGCGTGTACGAACCTTTGGAGCAAAGTAATAAGACGTGAAATGAGAAGTCTCTTCTGTCAGACTTCCCGCCACGATAGACCCTTCAACTTTTGCTAAGTTTTTGGCCTTACCCTTCAAATGCTTCATAAATCGTTCAAACGGATACATCCACCTAAACTGAACAGGTCCTCCCAACTCTGCTTCATGAGGGAGGTGTATAGGTAAATATTCCATAACATCGAAGAAAGCAGGTGGGAATATTTTCTCTAAATTGCACAACAATATTGGAATATTTGTAGACAGTTGTGCAACTACATCTTCTGATAATGTCCTTGTACTTAGATCACAGAAGAAAGCTCCAATGCCTCCTAGTGCCTCATGGACATGTCCCGGTAGGAGTTCAGCAAACACAAAAGGAAGTAACCGTTGCATAAACACATGACAATCATGACTTTTCATCCCTGAAAACTTTTGTCATTTCTCCACAGATTTAGCCAGATTAGATACATATCCATCAGGAAATTTCACGGCTGATGATACCCAATTAAACAATGCTGTTTTTTGTTCAGCACCCAACCGAAATACAGGAACAGGTGCTTTCCCATTACTCACCATATGCAACTCAATTCTGTTACATATATCGGGTAAGTCCATCCGTGATTTAACGTTGTCTTTGGTTCTTCCTTGGACGTTCAAAACAGTATGCATGATGTTATCGAAAAAAATCTTCTCAATGTGCATAACATCAAGATTATGTCTAAGCAAATGATCTTTCCAGTAAGGCAGATCCCAAAATATACTTTTCTTGTGCCAATTGTGATGAACCCCATATCCGTCAGGCATATTCGCAGGAGTGTGCCAATTTCCTCCAAGGGGGACCGTTTCAAATCCACCCCAATGATCTATTTGCGCTTCAAGCTCTACTCCAGTTAGGTACACTGGTGGAGGGAGACGAACCAATTTGTTCTTTATAAACAAACGCCTATTTCTTCTATATTGATGGTTTGGTGGTAAAAACCGACGGTGGCAATCAAACCAACAGGTTTTCCTACCATGTTTAAGCTGAAAGGCATCAGTCCTATGAAGACAATAAGGACATGATAACCTCCCATGCATTGTCCAACCTGATAGCATTCCGTATGCCGGGAAATCGCTTATTGTCCACATAAGCACCGCTCGCATCGTAAAATTTTTACCACTCGAACGGTCATATGTTCGTACTCCAACATGCCACAACTGGTTTAACTCATGTATGAGTGGTTGAAAAAACACATCAAGGGCCCGCTTCGGGTGATTTGGACCAGAGACTAATATACTTAGAAACAAAAACTCTCTTTGCATGCACATATCTGGAGGAAGGTTATATGGCGTAAGAATCACATGCCATAATGAATATTGCCTACCAGACATACCAAATGGACTAAACCCGTCAGTGCAAAGACCAAGATAAACATTTCGCTTAGACCTAGCAAAGTCTGGATGTACGGTGTTAAAATGTTTCCAAGATTTCCCGTCAGACGGGTGAGTCATTTTGCCATCTGTTTATGAATGTTCCGCATGCCATCTCATCGACGCAGCTGTCCGTTCGGATTGATATAGTCTTTTTAACCTATCAGTGATAGGAAGATACCACATTCTTTAGTAAGGAATCTTCTTACGCCCAGCAATTTGCGGTCTATATCTTGGCTTTTGGCAGAAACGACATTCTTCAAGCTTCTCATCATCTCTCCAAAAAAGCATACAATTATCAACACAAACATCAATCATCTCAGAAGGCAATCCAAGACTAAAAACCAGCTTCTGAATTTCATAATACGTTTCAGCAGCCAAATTATCATCTGGCAAATACTCTTTAATAAGATCTGCCCAATCATTCATGCAAACTTCAGATAGATTGTGATCAGTTTTTATTGTCATCATCCGAGCTGCCAATGATAATTTTGATAAACCTTCCCTACATCCCTCGTACAGAGGCTGTTTTGCTGCGTTTAACATTTCATAAAAGCGTTTCGCATCAGCATTGGGCTCCTCAACAGTATCAGCATGTGTTTCATGAAATGCATCAGTAACCATTTCATGCATCCTATCATGATCTTCACCCTGAACTTGACTACTTTGATAATCATTGGACGCTTCAAAATCCACATGTTCTTGATGATTATTACTACTCCGTGCAGCCATCTGACCACTACTTTGACCATATCCCTCTCCATGCTGATACCAAATAAAGTATTGGGGCATGAACCCTCTATTCAGTAAATGCTGCCAGACAGTGTCAATAGGAATATGTTTCCTATTTTTGCATTTCACACAAGGACAATACATTTTGCCGCTTTCAATTACAGTTTGCATAAGGTCGGCTTGGTACATGAATATTTCCAATCCGTTTTTGAAGTCTTCAGTCAACGACCCATCACCATTTTTGGGCGTATACATCCACTTTCGTAGATCGTATATAGATATTTCAAAAACAAATCTTTGACTTTTTGTTTCTGAAATTTGATAGAAATTTCAACTACTAAAAATTTTACTTAAACATTCAAAGACTCAAAAAATTTGTGTCTTTATATGTTTTTTTGGGTTGATGGAATAATGAGAGAAGAAAGGGTATAAATAAAATTTTTTGTTTGGTTACCAACATATTACCATTGCATATTTACATCAAATTTACGTCGAAATAAAACTTACATCACATTTACATTGATTTTGCGTCAATTACAAGATAGAGGACAATTAGTCGTATTATCGATGTAAATATTACGACAATATTACGACGAAATAAAATTCGTTCTTCCTTCGTCGTAATATCGTCGTAACATTACGACGATTTTACGAGGGTCATTTTTTACGTCGAATTTACGACGAAATTTATGGTCGTCGTAAATACGACGTAACGTCGTCGTAAATTTACGACGACTTAAAATCGTTGTAAATAATTTGACGGAAAAGCCTCTTATTCTTGTAGTCAAAATGCAGGTCAACCCCTAAGAGTCAAACCGCAATATAATCTTCGATTGTGTATAAATTTTATAATCCATACAAGACTGTGTATACATGATCAAAATTACGACCTCAAGATAAAATGACATGTATCTAGCCCACTAGACCAACATAGCTTCTTGTATGTTTTAGTCTTTCAGACTACTATATATATATAGCTTGATATATATATATATATATATATATAGCTTGAGTGTAAACATATATGTATATTTTCTTCCACTCCATTTCTATCAGTTTTTTCTCATTGATTTTCGGGCAATGTTGAAAAGGAAGACGAATTATAATATCTATATACGATCGAGGGTTATATTGCAGTTTGGCTCGTAGATAAATGATTGACCTGTATTTTTTCGAAGTGGAAAGTGAACTTGCAAATTTTATCTATGTGATGGATTTGTTTCAAAAAGTTTTCGTTGACCGAATCAAATTAGACATGTCGATAAATTGTTTAACAGAATAATTCAAAAACCGGTTAATCAAAACAATTCCTACCATTTCATATATAATTTGCTACAATCCTGATTCAAACATGTATTTGTAATCTGTGCGGAATAATATCCATGTTTAAAAATAATTTGAATTTCATTACTTGCATTTACGATAACGTGACTAATTCTTACATTTAGATAATTTTTCCAATTTTTTTTTTAAAATCCAAAACGATATAACATGTGCGGAAACATATCCACACTTAAAAATATAATGAATTTCATACAAGCACTTACCAAAACGGGCCCAATTCAGGATTAATTTTAATTCCATTAATTCACCATTTGGACGTATGATACTGGCCGTTCTCCCTACTAATTATTATTATTCCTCAATTGCCGAATGATACCGTTTTAGTTGGGCTTGCGTTATGCTTTCTTAATCTCAATCAAACAAAGATAATGTTCTTCTAGATTCACGCACCACACACACTATGTGCATTTCTCACCGTCCCACTTCGTGCACATAATAAGGGTAATAACTAATCAGGTGTATCCGACCTCACACCAAGCAAAATCTCTCCGTCCAATGATAACCAAACACGTATGACCTCAATCATAAGGGACGGTCACGATCACGAAGCAGAAGCTCTCAAATAGATTTCTTCTCCATATAAATAGGAAAAAAAGGAATCGACCAGGACCACCGAAATATCAGATTTCCGATTATTGAGAGAAAGCGACGGACGCAGATTCGCCGGAGCCAGATTCCTTTCCCGGCGAGCTCCGAGAGAAAACGAATCAATCGGAAGCCTGACCGGAGCCGATAATCTCATTCTTCTCTAGAAAATCTCGCCGGAAAATCTCGCCGGAGCTGATTGATTTTCCTCATTTTCTCATCTTGTTTAAGAAATTAGCAATGAAGAGAGGTAAAGCGGCGAGGAAATCTCCGTCGATGGTGGCGGTTAGCGATTGGGAGGGTGTTGATTCCGGCGAAGAGACGAGAATCGAACGGAGGTTGATGAAGTTCGAGGAATTGCCTGGGTATTTGAAGGATAACGAGTTTATTTACGACCATTATCGATGTCAATGGTCTCTCAAGGATACTTTCCTCAGTGCTTTCTCTTGGCATAACGAGACTCTCAATATTTGGACGTACGTTAAAAAATCAGTCAAATCCAATTTTAAAATCTGTGTGTAATTTTTGGGTTTTGTGTAATTTTTCAAAATTTGAATTTGATTCGTTTTGAAAAATTCCGCAGGCACTTAATCGGATTTCTGATATTTCTCTGGTTGATGGTGGTGAGTTCCTTAGAAACGACGGAGCTTGGCCTCGCCGGAATATTCAAATGCATGACCGGGTAAGAACCGTCGAGGTTAAATTTGTCATTTCAAGTGGTTTTTTTTAAAATAATAATAAAACGGCTTTTTTTGGGGTGTGTGTGGGACCCAATGATAGAGCGTGGATGTACGTCTCGAGCAATCATACTCTGCTTCATCATGTAAGATTTTTGTTTTCTTTTGGTTTTTTCAAATTTTCGACTTATCTCTTATCTTCTGCGACATTAGTCACGTAACGAATTCTAAAATGCTACACATAATTTGGGAATCAAATCTTCGTCATTTTCTGATGCTGATGCAGTAAAGTAGTGGTATAATTGCCCCCACCATGTGTTGCTTGTTTCTCGATATATTTCTTTGGAGCTTTTCTCTTTTCTTGTGTTTTGAGCCTACCTAACCTTTTGAAATCACATAAGATTCTTGAGGAAAATAAAGAAGAGAACAATTATTTTAAAATGCTCTTCAAAATCGTCAAAAATAAATTTGAAATAGTCAACACAAATTCTCATATTATTTCATATTGAAATGTTTATTTCGTGCTCACAATTTCCGGGAAGTTCTCGTTTTGGTGTTGCACCCATTTTTTTGGCAAAAAACAAAAAGCAATGGCCCTTATTGGTGATTATAAAAAAAATGAAATGAAATAAAATTATGAGAATGTATTTTTCTTATATTTCTTTATCAAATTTGGTGATGAATATTTTATTCTATAATTTCCTAAATATTAAGGAATGACAAGGACTAGTGTGTAAAAAATATACTTTATAAATGGTATAATTTTTGAGGAATGTATAAATAAGTTCTATATACTGTAAATGGTGTAATTTTTAAGGAATGAAGAGGAATTATATTATTCCTTCTCATTTCTTGGTAAGCAATTAGAGCCAACACCTCTTTTTGGTTCTCTTTCGGTTATATTATGTCTGAAGATTTACTCGGTTTAGGTTAATTTTACAGATTTTTCTTGGTTTAATTTGGTTTATGATTGATTCGGTTTTTGATTGGTTAAATACCGACAGTTGACTCGGTTTTATCCGACTCTGTCGGTTAACATTAAAATGTCGCATGAAAGAAGTAAACCGATTTCAAAACAAAAAGATCTGTCATTTTGCCGAGAAAGAATGATCCTTTTCTCTCTTTTTTTTTTTCTTTTTCGAATCACATGACTAAACTTAAAGATTCCCTCTTTCGCAGGACTCCAACGTGACAAAACACAACTCACTTATCAACTCTAAAGGAGAAGTGAACCATCACAACCACGAAGAATCTGTTCCGAAATGGCCATGGCTCTTGTACTTAGCAGGAGCAATGGGTTGCTTAATCTGCAGCTCTGTTTCACACCTCCTCGCTTGCCACTCAAAACGTTACAACCTCTTCTTCTGGCGTTTGGACTACGCAGGAATCTCACTCATGATCGTTTCCTCTTTCTTCGCACCTATCTACTACGCATTTTCCTGCAATCCTAACTTCCGTATCTTCTACTTGTCCTCAATCTCAGTCCTCGGTCTCCTCGCCATCATCACTCTCCTCTCTCCAGCTCTCTCAACGCCGCGTTTCAGGCCTTTCAGGGCAAGTCTTTTCCTTGCGATGGGATTCTCAAGTGTGATTCCAGCTTCTCATGTGCTTTGCCTTTACTGGGGTCACCCTAACGTGTTCCTCGCCCTCGGTTGCGAGCTTGCCACTGGCTTCTCTTACGCTTTGGGAGCAGCGTTTTATGTTAGTCGTGTGCCTGAGAGATGGAAGCCTGGAGCGTTTGATATTGCAGGACATAGCCATCAGATATTCCATGTGTTTGTAGTGTTAGGTGCTCTTATTCATTGTGTTGCCACTCTTCTCATTGTGGATTTTCGACGTGCGTCCCCTTCTTGTGGGTTTTAGCCAGAAAGTAAAAGCATTTGTGATCTTTCATTCAATGATCCGGTGTATGATCTAAAATAATAGCTGGTTTCGGATTGTGATCTTAGAAATAGAAACAAGCACACTTGCGATTGCAAGATCTATATGCCTCTGATTACTGAGCAAAGTGTGTAACACATGGACCTTATTTCTGGATTCCTCTGTTTCTTTGGAGATCAAAGAATAATAAGATCATAAAACACAAGGAGTTTGTTTGTTTATTTTTTTTTTTCATTTCTTTAGTGATCTTTGAGGTTAGACACAAGTGTATCTGACCTTTCACAGCAAGAAAGGGAGTGATTTGGTAATGTGTTCCGGTGGATTGGCAAGAAGACTAACGACTAGTAAAAAAGACCTCATCTTTGGTAGCTGGAACGGAGACGATGTGATGCGATGCATGAAACATGCTGAAGTGGTACAGCTTAGAATCCTGAAACAAGATTGTTGAAAAAAGACAAAACAAAGTAAGAAGCAGCAAAGACAATCCACCAAACTGAGTACTTTATAGAGCCATATGTGGTATTTAGCTATCAAAAACATAAATGATTTGACTTCACAATACAAGCCAGTTGCATTAATTCTAACAGTAGCAACAGTTACCTTGAGGACAGGTGATATCTTTCCATCGTTCAGTTTGAAAAGATCTGAAAGTGACAGTGACTGAGACGTTTCACCTTTGTTCGAGGAACACTGGTCCCTTTTCCTGTAGATCCCGTTCCATTTTATCATACAACCTTGAGCTTTGCTCGGCGTAAGTGACAAAAGGATCTGAAACATACCAGACTTATTACTGGTATGAATAATAACCATATTTACTCCAGATACAATATCTTGATACAGCTACAGATAGAAACTTAAAAGAGATGATATGATTACATAAAAGAGGACTAGAATTCAAAAGAGATGATAAACAAAACACCATAAAAAGGTAGTAGATACGAAATTAAGCATTAGCCTTTTGCATCAGATATTCACTCTGGCATGTTCTGCATTTGAGCCACTGAACACGGTGGCTAAGAAGTTTCTAGAAACATATCAAATGAGACACTTGCTTTTTAATCAGTAAATAAAATATGTTGACTGTTCCTTAAGCTTAGAATAAACAAATGAAGGATGATGATTTAAGTACTTTAAACTATCAAACATCAGTTTCGGCTGAAGTTCAAATGCAATTCAAAATCTTAGACTACAGAAACAGAGACATTTCTCTGCAAACATATAAATAAAAAAGACTAGTACTTTACGCAAATCTTAATTACAGTCGCGTTGATAAATGCCTTCTGTAAGCAAGTCAACATCGATCTTCCATTTACAAAACCCAGATTCATAAAAATATCACGAGTCAGCTCATCAGACTATAGAATAGCTAATTGATCAGATCGTGGATAAAAAAACAAAAAATCAAAACATCATCGAAATCTGAGAGTATAAAAGGTATTTACTCTGGATACAAAGGGAAGGGAAAATTCAGTGATAAATGGAAGGTGAATTTACCAGAAGAAAAAGGAGTGGAAGGTGAATTTCGAAGACCCATTTGGAAGAGAGAGTAGAAAATAGTGAGAGATATGGTCCATAATAACACAGCTACTCTCCAATTCGGTGCCCTAATTGCAGATGTCGTCGCTCGCCATTTCTACTTTTGTTCATTTCCTAATTTCCCTGTCATTTCTACTTTTGCAGATGTCGTCGCTGACTCGCTGTCGCAGATGACTTCTAACATTTTTTTCTCATCAATCCATGCCACCAAAAAAAAAAAATGTTACATTTGTAATAAATCCCACATCGGCTGGCCACAAGGAGGAAGGTAAGTTAAATATCCTATAAATAGTCACACTTGCTCTAAGGCGACGTCAACATGTGGGCTTCACAATAGCATATAGCAGTGTAATATTAATATTTTAGTCGGTTGTAATCGGTAGTAACCGATAACTCGGTTAAGGCGGCCGATTAATAGATAACCGATTCGGTAGACCGAATTGGTCTAACTCGGCTTAGGCTGCTGATTTATATCATTTGTTCTCTTATCCTCGACATAAAAAGTCAGTTCCAACAAAATTGAAAACATTCCTGGAACTGACAACTGATTTGCACAAAAATGGAGAAGAGGCTCCGGTCTTCTCTCAAGACATCCGCAGAGGAATTCCTCTCATCTGCTCTGAATTTTACCTTAAAATCATCTAAACCATCACTGAAAACCATTATCAACGCCGTGAAACCTTCATCGGATCTCTCATATTCTCTCCCACTCGTTCTTCACAACTCCATACTTCACCATTTAGAATCTTTTCAAAAACTTGTCGGAGATGATAATCTACATCTCTCTTCTTCTTCTAATTCTCCTCCATCGAAGCGTCAACGTGGTAATAAATCCGGATCCGGATCTTTACCCGACTCGGATTTCGATCAGCGGAGGCAGAAAATGAATAGTTCTTTCCAGGTCCTCTCTCATATACTTCATCTATGTGTTTTATCTTCTAAAAAAGCGTTTTCTACTTCTGATTTACTCCCCGCAGCTCAAGCTTTGCATAATAATCTTGTACTGTTTGAGTCGGATACGGTTCTGTGCCTTGAGATTGTCGAAATTTGTGAGTCTTGGTGGAAGGAAGGTCTTGCCGGAAGAGAAACTTTGATTTCTCAATCGCTACCGTTTTTGCTGTCGAGGTCACTAACATTGAAAAAAAAAGTAGACGTGCATCGAGTCTATATGCTGAGGGAAGCATTCACATTGTTTGATTTCGAGGACGAGAGCATTGAAGATTTGAAGATGCTTTTGATGCGGTGTGTGGTTTCGCCATTGTATGTGAAGACAGAAGACGGTCAGAGATTTGTCTCTTTTGCTTTTGGGCTTAGCAGACAGTTGATGAAGTCTGGTCTTGCTGTTGTCAAAGCTCAGATTCCTTTTGGGAGGAAATCGGTGCTTGAAGGGTTTGGCAGGATTCTCTTTAGGGCTTGGAAAGAAGTAGATCAAGATTTGAAAGGTGAGATTGAAGACGAGTTTTTGCAGGAGATCATTGAGAGTGCTATTAACGCCGGTTCATGCGCCTTTGCTGCCTCTCTTAGAAGGGTTTTGGGAGGGTTTATCACACAGCGGACAACTCAAGGCGTTGAGAAGCTCCTCTTTGGCCTTGCCGAGCCCATGATATTTCGCTCATTGCAGGTTTGTTTCTTAAGCTCCCCATCTTCTTCTCAAAGTAGAACCGTAGGGGTGACAAGCTAACAATAGCGTATGCAACTTAGCCATTACCTAAAACTTAACTAGGCATCTTTCATGGGTATTTTAGTCTGACATTGTTTGAACATTCGGTAAAAGTGATTTTTCGCTGCTCTAATAATCTTTCAGGTTGCGAATTCAAATGTTCGTTTAAATGCTTTACATTTACTTCTGGATCTTTTTCCGATGGAGGATCCGAATGCAACAAAAGAAGAAAAAGACACACTGCTTGACAAACAGTTCTACTTGTTGGAAAAATTGATGAATGATGAATGCCCAGATGTGAGATCTATTGCTGTGGAAGGTCTTTGTCGAGTTTTCTATCTTTTCTGGGAAGTGATCCCATCCCCAACAATTACCAAGACCATCACAAAACTTTTCGATGATATGTCACATGAATCGTGCAGTGAGGTTAGACTTTCAACAGTTAATGGTATAACTTACCTTCTTGCAAATCCACAATCCCATGGTATTCTTAAAGTGGTTCTGCCAAGACTGGGGCATTTGATGCTAGATAATGTTACTTCAGTACGAGTTGCCATGGTAGATCTGCTCCTTCTCATAAGAGATGTTCAGACTTTCCAGTTTAACACGGTAGGAAGAGGCTTTCCATTTCTGCTTTCATATTTTTTGTCACTTTTGTTGAGTCATTAGTATAATAGTTGCCTAATTATATGCAGGTGGTGAGCTTGGATGTGTTATTATCTGTGCTTGCTTCTGATCAAACTCATGTTGCTAAGGAAATCGCACGACTTCTAATGCCATCATATTTTCCATCAAGAAAAAGAGCTGAGGAGGCGTGCACGCGATGTAGGACACTCATAAACAGAAACCCAATGGCTGGTGCAAGATTTTGCGAATTTTTAGTATCCATTGGAGCAACCTTTCAATCTGTACTGCAGCTTGTTAGGTTCTTTTTGAATATAGTCTTGTCAGGCGACAAGATAGAGGAAAACCAGATTGAAGGCTTGCTTCTTGCTGCACATAATCTCTGTAATGATCTGGTTGCTGATTATGGGTGTTTGGCCTCCCTTAAAGAGATGTTACCTAGAGAGAAATTGAAAAGCTTGCTAGCTTTTGCACCTACTGCACATGCTCAGTCAGCTGTCTTTGATATTCTTGCTATGGTCTCCCCTGATGTCGTCTCTGACGTCCTAGAAGATTGCATGACTTTAGTTCTTAATTGTGGTGGTTTGCTTGGGGATGCAAAACGACAGATCGAGATGAGGTCTGTACACAAGTTACTCCTCTCTTCTAATGCCTTACCTGACCTCGTTGAAACTTTTACCAGTATCCTGCAGAATACTGCATATCGTTGTCAGGTCAATTTCGGTTATGAAGTAGAAAGAAAGAATGTGTATTCCATGTCGAATAAGAAATCAAAGTCCTTTGGAAAATCTTCGGCACGGTGGAAACATGTTAGCGGAAAAAACACAATCAGTTTCGAGGAAGATTATTCGGTTGCTGTAGGAATAGCATGGCAAATAAAGGATTTACTAAATATCGATGATGCTCGTAAAGCTATACTGGAGTCTGATATTGAGGATTTATTCTTTGCTTTAAAATTGATCTCCCAGATTAGCGTTCTGCAAGCCTCTTCTTGTGAATACATGGACGTGTACCCTGTATTGGCATATACCTCTCTTGCTTTGCATATGACTCTTCAGAATAGTAATACGACTACTCAGAAGAATGATACAAGAATTGCTGAGGCAAGAAATTTTTGCTTTCTCTCTTGACTCTTTGCTTTTCACACCATCAGTTTACTAATTACCAGGATTTTTTATTTTCTAGCAGGATATTCTGGACCAAACAATGAATCACATTCTAGGCTGCACAGATGAATTATTTCAGGCAGGTGACAGTGGAACGCAAGAGACCGTATCTCTAGAGGGTAACCTTAGAAAGAAACCCAAAACAAGATTTTCAAATGCTGGTGATGATAGTGAGTGGAAAGTTTTGAGTTTCATTACACATGTTACCCAATATAATGAAATCTTCTTATGTAGCTCTCTGCTTTTGGTAAGTATCAGTTCTCTTTGAAGATTTTTGACATGTTTCATGTTTCATGCAGCTTCTGAGGGATCTAAGGAAGGAGGTGTACTAAACAAGGTCAAGATGCTAACTGCGATTCTCAAGTTTATTGTTGAGTCTAAAGAGATGGGTCTAGGTTCCCACTTCCAAGCAAGGATGTTGAACTTCACATCCGCATATCTAAAGTATGCCATCTCCCTTTTCAACCACCATTCAACCGGTAAGTTACAATTCGAAGATGCAGAGTTAAAGGACATGATTCTGTGTACAAAGAGCTCTACCAGTTATACCGGAAAGTTCATAAACCTAGTGATGAGTCACACAACCGAAGCTTCATGCCCTTTGTTTGAAGCTTTTGACCTTGCAAATGACCTGCTTGATCTATTCACCACGGTTGAGATATCTTTAGGCTCAGCTTATGCATCAAGACTTGTGTCAGCCTTAAACCCTTGGATACCAGATTTGGTTCTTGCAATGGGACCTTGTTTCATCAACAACAACATGGAAGAAGAAAGTTCATACACCAGCTCATTCAACCACATCAATCTCCGCTTTCCGCTATGGCTTCTCACTTGTGCGAAGATTGAACTACATGAAATCGACGAGACCTTGGATTCCCATCTTTCACTCTCGGCATTCAAAAGAGTGAGAGACACCATAGTTTCATTAATGAAAGGTAAATCCAAGGTGGTTGATGGAATCGGTTATGTTCTTTTGATATGTTCAGCCGTGTGTATCGAGAAGAAGGATTACAGTACAGCTCTAGGATTGTTGCATTTTGTATGTGTGAAGTTGGGAAGCAGAGAAGATAAAGAGTGGAAAGAGTTTGACACAATGTTGGTCTCACTTCCGAGAATCTACCCGATTATAGAGCGAGAGATTAGTGAAGAAAGAGATGAAGATAAAGTGAAGCAACTTGAGGCTGCAAGAGAATTGCTTCAACCTGTGTGGATGTACCATGTGTATGAAACCGGAAGGTTTCGCATGATGGAGGAAGAAGAATAGATGTGAAATAAAAACATTGTTGGTTTAAACTTTTGCTGCTTTGTAAGAAATTATAATCAAGAATGTTTATTTGGCTCTTCCTTAATGTTCGACACACTTATCATTCTCCTTAATGCAGTAGTTTTTCAATTAAAATTATAACTATAGTTTCAAACTCCCACACAAACATTTTATGAGTTTTAAAATGATATTAAAATTTGGAAAGTCAGGTTTGTCTCATTTCCACGTGCTTGAATTACTTGTATCAGACACGCGCTGGAGCAAAAAAAAAATACTCCCTTTGTTTCTTTTTATAAGCTGTTTTGGAGGTTTTTTTTTGTTTCACAATGTATGTTGTTTTCATATTTCTATGCAACTTTTACCTTTATTGAATATTGTGTGACCAATTAGATTATGTAATTTTTTTTTTATGATTGGTTAAAGTAGTTTTAATTTATACATTAAATAATATTTGTTAAAAGAAGTAAATTTTTTAATAGTTGTGCTTTTAACCAAAACAGCTTATAAAAAGAACAGAAAGAGTAGTTGGTTTCGTTTTGTTCTTGATATATATTTTCAGAACCTGCAAGGAGAGAAACCGTCATCAAGTCTAAACGCGTAAGGATAGGCGATAACTCATTACGTTTCACAATAAATGCATCACATCTTATAATTTATCAGATGAAATGAAATGAGAAAATAAAGTGGAGAGGGAACTTTAGATTAAACACCCAGACAAGATCTTACGATTTCTTGTGATATCATAGTATCTTCTCTCGCTTAAAGCTGATATAGCTGAACACTAAAGACAAGATTGCCCGTTAATAAAAAAACTGGTTTACATAATATATATATGATGAGCACGTCTAATTATTCTTAAAAAATTTAATATTGTAACTAATAAGTTTTAATTTTTTTTTTGTTAAAAAGTTTTAAATCTTCAACGTAAATTTTCATACAGAAAACCAAAACAGTTTGGTTAGTTTAATATTTTTTGTCAATATAATCTCGTCGGAAACACGACAAAGATAGAGATCCATCATAATCTAAATACCAAAAATTATGATTTATAACAAAAAATCGTCGAAAAATTTGTAATGAGATTTGTTTTCGAAGATCCATCAAAAATATCCATCGTAATGTGATCAGAAATTTCTAAGAATTTTGATGAATATTTCTATGAAATTGATTGTCCATTACAAGTTACGTATGTATAAAGACATTTTTGCATCCATTATATATTAGTTAGTATTAATTTTAAAGAACAATGACAATAAAAACTAATTCAGTAAATATAATCAATCTTGAATAATTTGGAGAAAACCAAAATGTATAAGTTATTTATTGAATCGAATAATAATAATAAAAAAAAAGATAACGATAAGTTTGAAGAAGAAAAAAAATGACAACCTCAACGCTCTCGTCACTTTGTGACACATTCCACACTCCACCGACTCTTGCCCTCATATGAATTTCTTTTTCGACTAAATCTATTAATTGATGAGATGATTAACTGATACTGTATGTAAGGTAACAATTTCTTAATCTCTCGTCAATAATTAATAGGTTTTAGAGTAAATTTACTTCCTAGAAACTGATTGGTATTCATATGTTTGTCATCTTTATTTAGACGGAAGAATAGTTAGATGTAATGTAAATAAGCAAAGATTAGTAGATTACGATTTAAGAGTAAACTAGATTCTATTCCGTGCGTCCGTACAGAAAATTTATATTTTTAATTTAATTTTATAAGATAATATATGTTTTTTATAGATATGATATTTTCCAATAAATGAAATTTTTTTTGTTTAGATAAAATTTATTTTTAAAAATGATGATAAAAAAATAATTTTAATCTATCTTTTTGGTTCAACCGATAAATACCATAAATATAAAATTATAATTTTACCCTCTCCGTTCATATTGATATTACCATATAATATAAAGATTAATTTTATTATTTAAATTTATCGACAAAAAAAAATTAAATTCATCGACAAAAAATTATATTTTTAAACTGATTGATTATAAAAATTTTTTATAACTATGATAATATTATTTAAATTTGAATATTTAAATATAATATAAACTAATATCCTATTTACTATTTTTATAAAAATAATAACAACTGAATTTTTATAATTTTAATAATTAATCTAACTTATATCTAAGAAAATCTAAACTAATTGAATTAAAATTTACAAATTTTCGGGACTATTTTTAAAAATAAGATTTAAATATATTATTTTGTTAGTTTTTGGAAATAAATAAACAAATAAATCAAATTAAAAATTTGTTTGGCAACAGCAATAATAGATATCCAAAAATATAATAGTAGAAAAATAAGAAAATCATGTTTAGACACAAAACATACTTTCCTTTTAATTGTAAATAAGTCATTAAGAAAAGTAAAAATGTTACAAAACCTGATAAATTAAAAACAATGACTCTCTATGTATCACACATGACTAATGTGAACAAACGATAATTTGTTTTGCTTTTTAATCATCAAAATATAGAGTTGCGTTATAAGATTTGGCATTTTCGTTGAATGATTTATAGTAGAGTTTTATACATTTCTCTATAATTACAAACTAGTAAACTTTTCTGCGCTTCGCACGGGCTAATGTAAGTTTTCATTTGATTGTTTAAAAATTTAATTGTAGTTTGGATTCATTTGTTTTTTATTCTTTATTGGTGAGTATATTTGATTGTTATATTTTCTTGCATTTTAATGTTTGAAGACGTGATGGTGAAAACATTGTAGAAGAGAGTAGATTAAAACATATTAGTATCCAAATAATTTAGTTTATATAGTTTTGAAATCTTTTGATCACTGTTCTATGTATTTTATACATATAGTATTTTGAAATATTGTACGAACTTATTCGATTTTGATCACTGTTCTATGTATTTAGACGAAGTTTTTTGAACTACTATATAAACTTATTCGAAGAAGAAGGAAGTGGTTAAACAATTTAGAAGGGTATGAGAGAATTAGAGAAAATTATACATATTTATACTAAAATATTTGAAGTCGAAAACCCTAATCTAGATATCACAAATACCATCGTTCCATCAGTTATTCCATTTATTAATTTTTACTTTTTCATTAGATTTGACTAAATATCGGTTTTATTAAATTTGAAAAACGGTTTGATTGACAATGGATTATGTTATTAAACCACAATAATTTAGAATGGTATGTTTTAATTTATTTTAACAAATCATCAGATAAGAACCAATCAAAAATGATACATATGTAAAAAATAGGGTTAAAATGTCTTTTTTTACAACCAAAACTCATTGTGGAGATGACACCTAAGCAAAACGTTGTAAAACTCACTGTGAAGCTGACACATCAACAAATCACTATACAAATAAATATATAGATATTACGTTTGTTTTAAAACACTACATAGACAAACCCGAGTCATCTTCATCATTATAGCTATAATATTTATTTTTGGGCGTCATTGAATATCTAGTATCTATTAATATTTCGTAATCCCAATATATTATTAATTATTATTAGAGTGATTTTGTTGTATACTAAAAGTTGACCAATTTATTAATTATATACCAAAAGAAATTTCAAAATTGGGTCTGATTTGCCACATCATCATTTTTTCACCGTAATACCCCTATTCCGATACAAGTTGCACTTGCAAAAAAAAAAAAAAAAACAGATAAAAGCATTAAATGCTCGACAGCAATGCATAAATAAAACATAGATAATGATACATGCTATCTGCCATAAGATATGGTGTATCTAAATATTATGTGGTAAAGACGACATAACGGTCTATATATTATTATCATCGTTTGCTAACTATAATGTATATATATCTGATAACTACATATGAGTATATATGAGTGTTATCGTTTATCTGAGTTATTATAATACAAATTAACATGTTAAGGTTTTTTGTCTGGGGTCTCATTACACGATACTATCGCGCTTATCTTGCTAGAGCTGATCAACGAGTAGGAATCCATATTGGGGTCTCTGATACTGGAAATGATCAGATTCAACAATTGGTAAACGAGACTATAGCTTGTGGAATTAGATATGAGTTTCTTCCTGAAGTAGAACAACAGAGAAATCTCCCTTCAAGCCAAGTTCTAAACCGAAAATCAAAGGCAGTGTTCATCTCATCTTCTTCTCCAGGGTACTTTGAGAGTATAAGGAACATATATTGGGAAAGCCCGACGGTGACGGGAGAAATAATCAGAGTTCACAAGCCGAGCCACAAGGAATACCAGAAAACACAGAGGAAAATGGAGGGCAGGAGAGCATGGACTGAAATTTACCTTCTGAGTTGTTCTGATGTGCTGGTGGTCACAAGCCCGTGGTCCTCAGTCGTGGACGTGGCTCATGGCCTTGGAGGGTTAAAGCCATGGATATTAAACAAGGTTGAGAACGGGACTGACCATGATCATTACTGTATGAGAGCAAGGTCAATGGAGCCTTGTTCCCAAACGCCATGGTCACATGGCTGAAACGATTAAGAGATGAATCGTCTTTTTTTCCTTTACTAGGTGTTGTGAGGTCAAGAATTTCTGAGTTTCCCAATAGACACGTTAGGAATATTAGAATTAACTAAATGTATCTGTTCATTACTTGATCGAGTTCTATATCTTTTCCAATACAACTGAAGGTGCTCTTATTCATGTCTCTACAGCAATATACATTCAAAATTAGAAACCGATGGATTTGCTTAAGTTTCTATAAGTGAAATGAAAAATAGAGATTGAAGAAAGGATCTGAGACATACAAGAACATATAGGGGTAATGGGTTTTTGCTATGTACACTGCCTGGCAACAATGGTGTTTTAATCTTTAACAGCCTGTCTGCAAATGGGGCATGACCCATGTCTGATGAGCCACTTCTCCTGCTTGGATGTCCTATAAATCCCCAGGTGTGAGATAAACAAAGGGTCATGATAAGAAGTTTGATCAGTTTGTGTCAAACGAATAAAACCTGCAGACAAATTGTGCAGTGAATGATCTGCCTCTTGGTCATTTCACTTGACATGATATAGCACGGTAGCTTTCAGAAGTGGAATTTCATATGAGAGTTTTTTAAATATACAAATAAAGATGCGTGCCGAAAAACTGAGAGTTAGAATAGCACCTGCCAGTGGTGTACTGGTGTGAATTTAACACTGTCAACATAAGTTGTTCATCTACTAGTCTCCCACGAAACAGTTGCTCTACAAAGTCTGCCTGAATCCAAAACAAAAATACCAAAGGTTCAGCTTACTCATACTCACGGTCAAAGCTACCAAATTAACAGGTGGAATAATACAGTTCTATGCTGCTATTGGTTCAAGTCCTTCACACATATAAAAAAAAAAAACAGACAGAGACTTCAACGACAATCCTCCGTAGAAGCACGGAAAAATGGTTTCAAGGGCTTGGCGGTTATCAAATTAACCCACTGAAACATGGACATACAAATGCCTACATCAAAGCTAGAAATCTTTGGCCAATTTGGCAAATGGCATTATAACAATAAACCATTCCTACTGCTCTGGGAAGATTATTTCATCATCCTATATATTTGAACGAACGATTAAAAGTTACTGATAATGCCAAAACTTTGATGGCCCACCAGTAACATGTCAAAGTTATTTCTTCCACCAAACTTCTTTTCTCTCAGAATCCTTCTCCATATCGACCATAAAGTCAGTCGAAATAGTCCAAAACCCATCTTCCTATACTTGGCAAAGGTGTTAGATTGCTCAGAAAGAAGAATTGAAGACTGACCATAGATGAAGGACCCCTTGATCCTGACAGCTCTAAATACCAGTATGCACGAGAAGCCTCCAACACTTCAACAGAAAGAATACCAGATATTCCATGTGTTTGTAGTGTTCTGTGCTCTTATTCATTGTGTTGCCACTCTTCTCATTGTTGATTTTCGACGTGCGTCCCCTTCTTGTGGGTTTTAGCCTGAAAGTTAAAGCATTTGTGATCTTTAAATCCGGTGTATGATCTAAAATAATAGCTGGTTTCTGATTGTGATCTTAGAAATAGAAACAAGCACACTTGCGATTGCAAGATCTATATGCCTCTGATTACTGAGCAGAGTGTGTAACACAGGGACCTTTATCACTGGATTCCTTTGTTTCTTTGGAGATCACAAGATCCTTCACGAATCTAGATTCTTGCAGAAATATGACATCTTATTCAAAGAGTATGATATTTTTTTGGTTTTCTTCTGTGAGCTGCAACAAACAAGTTGAAAAGGAAGAAGATGCTGAAAGCAATTTTAGCAATTTCATTAGAACAACAAGATCATAAAACACAATTGTTTTTTCTCATTTCTTTAGTGATCTTTGAGGTTACACACAAGCGTATCTGACCTTTCACAGCAAGAAAGGGAGTGTTTTGGCAAGCCCCACAGGAGCTAATACCTGGTCTTGTAATTAGCCGTTGAAAGTTCTTGTAATTAGCCGTTGAAAGTTTTAAATTCTCTTCTGTTTATATATATTAACTACCTTTAGTGTATATTTAAGAGAAAGACTGAGATATTAAACGCATAAAGAAGATTCAAAAATCGCTTTTGCGGGAAGAAAGCTAAAAAGACATGTCCCACGCCAAAAAAGAGAGAGAAGAAAGTCTCATTAAGCTTCATCATTCAAGGTTTCATCAAAATGATTTCCAAACCTTTTTCTTTCTATATTCCGGAGATTTCATTATTAGTCTAGAAGAATATTTGACTGATTATGATACAAACCCTTTTTCGTTTTTCTCTCATATACTTAATGAATTTAGAAATATAAGTCATGACATTTTTCATCTCTGCTGACCAAAATTCAGAAACTTTCTGCTTTTAATGATATGGACAAGGCATCATAATTGTTTTTGGTCAAGCATGGCTTGTATGAATGAATAAATTTCCCATCTTTTGGTCTTATTTTCTTTATTAGGTATAATTCCGTCTAATTTACCATTTTTTGTTTCAAATATTTTTGTAATCTTTCTAAACCATCAAAATTTTCTCAGCCTATCTCTGGACTTGCTCATCGGCAGAACTTTGTGTTCTTCTGCAATTTCATCAGGTACAGTGAGATTCTTTCTTCATTCCATTAATGAAAATTTTTGTTGACTTCTTTCACTAGAGATTATAAGTTAATTGAAGAAGTTCAGATTATCCCAACAAAAAAAAACTTGTGATTACTGAGCAAATGTAAAAAGATTATAGTGTTTCTTGCAATTCCAGAGACATGGTAGGTAGAAGCTACAGCTTAAATATGCATGGAGTTGAGTCCATGGATCTTAGGATAGCTCTCTATGAAATGAAGGAAAATGTTCAGAGACTCCAAGAAGAGTTAGATGCCGAGAGAGAAGCGACGGCCTCGTCAGCGAGCGAAGCCATGTCAATGATTCTAAGGCTTCAAGGAGAGAAGGCGGCGCTAGCTATGGAAGCTAGCCAGTACAAGAGAATGGTCGAGGAGAGAATGTCGCACACTGAGTTGTCTCTGGAGCTTTTGGAGGATCTAAATTACAAGAAAGAAGTTGAAATCAAGAATCTTGAATGTGAATTGCATGCATATAGGTACAAGCTTTTGAGCTTGGGATGCAGAAGAATCGAGGATGAACATTCAGCTTATGATGATATGAGATGTTGTGATAGATCTCAAACGCCATCTCCTGAACCGATTGATATAGACCATTTGGTTCCTGTAGAGAAAGGAGTCATTGAGCAGAGCCTGGACTTATCAAGAAGAAATGAGGAGAAGAATTTAGATTTGTATTGGGATCAGATCAAGAAGATGGATGAGCAGTTAAAAGAGCTTACAGATTGTATAAGAATGGAGACATTTTCTGTTTCTGAAACTAAGTATGGAGAAAAAGGTGAATCTTTTGCTGCAAGCTCGTTGAACACTCAAGATATAGTTCCAAAGGGTTTGTGTAAACCTGATTTTTTGGTGAAAAAGATGTCTAAGAAATCATCTAAAAAGAAAAGAGCTATCAGTGTACAGAGAGATTATGTACGAGGAAGTTGTTCTGCAAATGATACAGAGTATCAAGCAGAGTTGCAGCGGTTGAAAGAGAGAGTAGAGCGGCTTGAGAAGGAGAGATGCAACACAGAGACTCAAACTAGTGAAGTAAAGCAAGAAGAAGAGTTAAGTTCTGTGCAAACAACTCAGAAGTTACTTCCTTGTTATGACTCATCTATTGTCTCTGTCCAAGAGGTATAGTAACATCAAATTCTGTCCACAAATTCAGATAATACTTAAGTGCTAACAAATCTTGAAATGTTTATTGAAACAGGCAATGCTTTACTTCTGGCTATGAGACACGCTCATCTGAACGGCATTAGAGCTAATAAAAATACACTATCTAAGATTTCTACAAATATTGATTTGATTGAAAAATACAAACCTTGAGAACCTTATGGTGTGTTGTTAATTAAGGTGTAAAAGGAAGTGAATAATACGATTAGTTAAAGTGTGTGATTAAAAATTGTATCTGCATTGGTTTTGTTTGCTTGAAGTTAGATTCACCTTTTCTGTATAGCCTGAGCCTTTTTGAAAAAAAAATATTGTTCTGTTTTCTAGATCTTTCATGGTTTTGATCATAATTTTCCTTAGTTTGGTGGAAAAAGAAGAATTCAGAGAAGTATGAAAGTGAAAGTTACTAAACCTGAAGAGTTTTGTGGATGCTTTGTCATTTCTGCACCAAAAAAAGTCTTGAAACCTCACAATCACCAATCTCATATTTTTCTTCTGCCACAAGCGTCTATGGTTTGAAGTCTTTACATAATCTAATTCTAAGCAAATGGATAAAACCATATCTTTGATTGGTTGGAATTAGAATCAATGTTAACCGCAGTTGCTATTAGACCAAACTTCTTCTAGTTATTTCTTAACATCATCTTTTCTCATGATCATTAGTCATCATAACATTCCAGATTAAACCAAAAACTAATCCATTCACTGGCCCAACCACTTTTATGAATCCTTTTGTGTCACTATCAATGGAGGAAACATATTCAGTTCACCACAAATTTGTCATTACTCATAGTGTGTTTAGCTTGTTGGATGTCTTTCTCATACCTTCCTCTTTGTGTGCGCATCCGGATTTGTTGAGCAATTGGAAAAAAAAAAAATCACTGTTTGATCTTTTTCTCTTTTGCACCTACCTCATCATCAGTTCCTGCTTGTCTTAGTGAATCCTCTGTTTCTACTGCAACTACTTTAGTGACGACAAGTTAGAGAATATGACATGACAAGTTAAAAGAAAAATATGAGTGAAGCTTCAATCAATAAAGTTTAATTCTCTCTATCAAAACTAATCAAGAAGGTTGAAAATTTATGTGGTCTTTTTAATCATCTTTGTGAAAAAATTATTATTCAAAAACAACATAAGGAAAATTCTGAAGATGTGTTAAAAATATTGTTATTACATCATGAGACTGTTTGTTTCTTGGCTTATCACTTCTTTCTAAGATTGCAGAAAGAACAAATCCGATGGCTTGTTGACCTATGTTTGATGTTGATGTCACAGATTAGTACATATTTAATTTAAATTTGTTTAACTAGTAAATGACTAATGATCAAGACAGTGGGGAGATTAAGCAGATCGACATCAGCTTCCACTTGCAATACTAAAATTTTAGTTTTTGTTTACATCCAAAGTTAGGCAAAAAAAGTGCTATATTGATAAGATCATAATGCAATGGAAGATTAGGAGAAGCTTCATTGCTAGCTAGATTCATAGCACATACATAAGCTATGATCATGATTACAAATAATCCCAACAAATCTTTAATTCTAAATAATTAAACCAGTGAATGTGAAACAGAAGATTTGGTTGGCTGATTCTTGACCTGAAGATATGGTTTTTCAGATCTTAAACCAAAAAGGAAGACGTAAATGGAAAACTTTAATCCACAAACCAACTTTTTATAACAATTCAACTCAAGAATCCAACAAAAAAAAAAATACCAAAAGAATGAATACAATCATCAAAACTTTCTGAAACATTGATTCAGAAACCATCATGAACTAGCTTCTCCTTCTGTTTCTTGAGGTTGATAACTTGGAAGAGAAGGACAAGCAAATAGAAACTCTTTAAGCCTTCCCATCTCTTGTGCGACATCAAGCATGTTAGGCCTAGTTGAAGGAGTATATTGAGTACATATCAATCCCAACTCAATCATTTCCAATATGACTTCTCTCCATAGCTTCTCACATCTCTCTGCCTTCCCTTGCGGTTTTAATCTTATTAGTGCTTGTTCGATGATTCCCTCTAGAGAATTCTGGTAATTCCACTTCATAAACTCATGCAAGCTTGATCCTTCGTTGACAAGAACATCCGTTGGTCTCCTTCCGCTCACAATCTCTAGCAGGAGAACACCAAAACTGTACACATCTCCATGGATAGATGCACGTTTCCCCATCCCATATTCTGATAATAAAATGAATAAACATGACTAATGAGACTACTTAGTGAAACTTGAATGATGTTGTAATAGTTATGTACCTGGCGCAATGTAACCGACTGATCCGCATAATAGTCCATCTGTTGAGCCAAATGACACTGAATCAACCGTTTCTTGGACTCCTTGAACCAATCTTGAAATTCCAAAATCTGTAACCAGAGCGGTCATTTCATCGTCAAGAAGAATATTGCTTGGTTTGAGATCACAGTGAACGACTTTGACAGGTGAATAGTCATGCAAGTAAGCTATTCCTTCGGCGACATCGCTGCAAATACTCACCAACTGAATCAAATCCAAGCTCCTGCCTGAGTACTCCTCAGGGTATAAATGCCTCTCCAAGCTCCCATTTGGCATTAATGGCAGAACAATAGCCTTGAAACCTGGTTTGCTACACGTTGTGATGATCCTGACATTCTCTTTTGAAGCTCCCTGTGAACTCTGCTGCAGTCTTTGGATCGAGTACTTTCACTGCAATCTTCTTGTTGTTTCTGAGAATTCCTTTGTACACATGACCAAACCTCCCTGATCCAATTAGGCTAGAAGAACTGAAACCTCTTGTTGCTTCATTGAGCTGCTGATATGATATTCTTGGGTATTTCGTGTCTTTTCGGTTCTGTTTTTCTTCATCTTCCATCTCTTCTTCATCGTAAACTGTTAGATTCTTTCCAATTTTTGATCTTTGGACCAAAGGGTACCCGAAAACACACAGAACATGAGTTACAATCAACGATAATAGAACCGGTAGAAGAACAACAGGGTACTTGTGCTTCTTCTTGCAGGATTGCATCCCTTGTACAGAGCCACACAAGGAAGAATCCCCAAGAAAAAAATCAATACTCAGCTTAGAGAATGATCCTTTGTCAGATGCATTTCCGGAGAACAGGTTGAAGGAGAAATTCAAGTGCTTGAGAGTGGAAGACTGTTGGAAAGAAGGCGGTATAGCTCCGGTTAATCTGTTTTAAGACACATCTAGCTCTTTTAGATATGGCAATTGGCCTAATGAAGCAGGAAGTGGACCAAAGAAACCGTTTCTTGAAAGATTCAGATGCTCCAATGCAATGCAATTTCCGAGCTGAGGTGGAATTTTCCCTGAAAGTTCGTTGGAAGATAGATCAATGGAGAGATCCATATCCATTTTGCTTAGCTCCAAAGGAATTTCTCCATTTAAGTGGTTGCTTGAGAGGTTAAGATAAAGCTTCAGGTTTCTGAGATTGGAGACAACTTCAACAGGAATCTTGCCTGAGAGGTTGTTGTGAGATAGGTCAAGAATCTCAAGATTGATACACTGGCCAAGGCTTTGAGGGACCATACCAGAGAGATGGTTTCCATACAGAATAAGTCTTCTCAGCTGAGAAAGGTTAGCAAAACTATCCGGGATTGAACCAGATAGCTTGTTTCTAGACAAATCAAGAAGACCTAGATGAGGAATATCCCCTAGTTCCACTGGGATTTCACCGGTTAAGAGATAATTCAAAAGATAAACCCTTTCAAGTTTGCTTAGCTTACAGAGCTCCCAGGGGATTGGACCGGTCAAAAGGTTACTCGACAAGTTTAAAAGGGTTAGGTTCAAAAGGTTTGATATTTCTGGAGGTATAGAGCCATGGATATGGTTTTGATCAAGATGAAGCTGCACAAGATTCACAGAGAGGTGCCTTACGGAAGAAGTTATCTCTCCTCCAAGACTGTTTCCGGCTAACTCAAGCTCTTGTAGGCCAGAAGAATTGGAGAGAGAGGCGAAAAAGGGTTCGAGGTCGGTGTTATTGTTGTGGCTAACGAAATGGTTATAAGAAAGGTAAAGAAATTGAAGCTGTGGCATATTGCTTATAACTAGAGAAGGTAACTCTCCGGTTAACAGATTTGACTCCAAATAGATCCATTTGAGATTTTTAGAGTATGAAAGCGAAGATGGAACATTTCCCACAAGATTGTTAGACCATGATTATCGGGCGTTTTCTATGAGTTTCTTCCCATTTAATGGGCTTTTTTAAAATGAAAAATAGTTTTAAAGAGCAGGATCGATCCTTATTTTGGAACTTAAAGGATCGATCCTTCTTGGGTATGTGGCAGGTTGTGATTGGCTGTAGGTTTGAAGAGAGTTTTGGCTTGGAAAAAATTTGTCCTTCGATCATTTCTTCTCCTTTGTCGAGAAAACCTTTCCGTCGCCTCTCATCCGTCCTCGTGACTTCTCCGCCTTCCTGGTGGCGTCGGCGCTTCTACTTCTCCTCCTCGACTTCTCCGACGCCTCCTTGTCTTCCAATCTCCTTCGCGGCGGCGCTTTTACATCTGGTTCGAACCGACTGAAGAAATTTTAGTATCCGATCTTCCCAATCCTTTCATGATAGGTAATTTCGTTTTCAATTTTCTCTTTTCTGTTTTGTTTATGACTTTACGAATTGGGCTAAGTAGTGATTTTGCTGCTTCTTTTTGGATTGGTGTTCTTTTAGGTTTTAGCAGCAGGTGATTGCTTAATTTGCTTATTGTTTATCAGTGAACGTGCACTCACCTTTTTATCTCTTTGAGTCAGCAAGGCTGTATTTTGACCAGAGAAGAAGAAACCGAAGTTCTTTAAGGTGACAATGGTTCTTTAGAGGGATTTCTCCATTGAGAGAATTGTTAGAGAGGTCTATGTATAGCAGAGAAGAAGAAGAACCGTTGCAAAAGAGCTGAACCGGAATTTGACCGGTTAACCGGTTGGTTCCGAGATCGAGATAAACAAGAAGATTAAGCGAACCAAGCTCTTGTGGAATGTTTTCTTGTAAGAGATTCTCAGAGAGACTTAACTGCTTTAAGGTTTTATGCAATGAGCCTATCTCAGATGGTATTTCTCCTGTGAAGAAGTTTCTTGACAGATCAAGAACGATTAAAGCGGTTAGATTTGCGATTGATGGGGAGATTTTGCCGCTGAGATCTCGACCGCTGATGTCGAGCTCGATAAAATAATATCATATGCTATATAGCCCATTTTGCAAATAAACAAAATAAATGATGGCCACTTAGTGGTGTTAGTCTTAGTTATATGCGTGTGGTTAACCCTTTAAGTTGAGGTGTGTTAATTTTTGTATGGTGGTGGTACATGTCAGCAGAAACCAGAAAGCTAGCTTAAGGCCTAACTCCATCATGTGTTTTTGGTAATTTATATTATAATAAGTCGTTAAGTATGTTTAGATTTCAGTAGACTAGATTATAGAGTGAGATTAGTGGATGCTTTATACATTAATATAATAAGCAAATATAATAGCAACGAATTTCTATCTACAGGGGTGGTCTATCCTCAATAACGTCCGATGTGGCATCCACGTGGCATTTCAATTTGCGACCTAATTATCCACTGTATTCGATCGCCACTCTCTTTTTAGATTGAAGTTGTTAAGTGATAAATCTTGCAATAAAAAATTTAAAGGTGATAAAACATGCTAAAAGCAAAAAACTAAAAAAACTGACAAAATATGCAAATTTCCTTATATTAAATGTGTACTAGTTTATAATATGATGATTATTTTACCAAATAAATAATGGGATTGAAAATGGTATTTGTTTATAATCGGGTAATTAAGCACTGCGTTTAGGGATCATAAAAGATTTTAATTAATAAACGTAGCCCACCACATATTAATGATATTACCTTGTTGTTTATATCCAAGTGCTACCAAAAAAAAAATTAAGTCGATACAACTTGTTGCTCCAAAATGGATTTTAGTATATCATGAATTCTCTTAATCATCACAATCTGACGTGGATGACCGTTATATGTATATCTTTTATATCTTTTTTTTTTCTATTATAGATTTTTTATATCATCACTTTCATTTAGACCTACATAGTGAAAAACTGGGAAGTGATACTTAAAAGAGATAAATTTTTCCATCATTTCCATAATCCAAAGACGAAAAGTGTTTTCTCGTATTATTTGTGGCAATTTGTTAACACCTTTGCCTCTTGTTGCTTTTGTATGTCGACATCGAAATGCGTTTGTCACAAAAGGTATTGTTCGAAGTAATCTCTCAAAATTTCTGTTGATTTTGAAAACAATCCTTTATACCTAAAGAGCGATGCCTTCTGCCTTCTCAATATATGTGTTTTATGATCAATTATGTTAAATTTAAAATTATTTTTGAAACATGCAAAATCAATTATGTTAACCTAATTTAATATTTTAAAACCACATATAAGTGTTTCTTTTTTTTATAAATCTTCACAACCACAAACCATAATCAAACAATAAATAATACATCCAAATTTATTTTACATGGAACTTATATTTTAGATTTTTCATAAATTAAAATCCTAAATGCATGAACTCATAGAATTCAAAACATGCATGAGTGATTTATATTTAGGGTTCTTTTTAAGATAATGTTTTTGTTACATTCTCTAGCTCCGCCACTGCTTTCATTCCTAAAGATTCGATGACCACATCAATGGCGAAGGATAGGAACAAGCTCAAGAGGAACTTTCTTAACAATAGTGACATCACCAGCTTCCTCCATGTCCATATCTTTCTTGTCCTCAGGCAATCTCCAATCAAAGTAGTAAAGCAAATTCACGAGTCCCATTTCAACGGTCGCGATCCCATAAGCAATACCTGGACAAATTCTCCGACCAGAACCAAAAGGTAGCATCTCAAAGCTATGTCCATTATAGTCCACAGGAGAATCCATAAACCTCTCCGGTATAAACTCTTTTGCATTTTCCCAGTGCTTAGGATCTCTCCCTATTGACCATGCATTAACCAATAAAAGATCTTTTGGGGGAATGTCATAGCCTTGAATCTTGATTTGACTCATTGTTTCTCTAGGGAGTAACAGAGGAGCTGCTGGGTGTAGTCTTAAGGTTTCTTTCACCACAAGCTTCAAGTATCGAAGCTTATCGAGATCTTGTTCCTCGATTCTCTCCTTTGAGTTGATTCCGATGCAAGTCCGGATCTCTTCTTGAGCTTTTTTCATCACCCTAGGGTTTCTAACGAGCTCTGCCATCGCCCAAATCATGGTGATGGCATTTGCGTCTACTCCAGCTATATATATATTCTAGGTCAACCAAAAGATATTAGATGATTAATTAATTTAGGATAAAACATGTTAGATTAATTCAAGAGTGTTAAAATAAAGAGATTCTTTACTTACTGAGATGATTCCTTTTAGATGATCAATGGTTAGCTTGAAAGATTCATCTTGTTCTTCTCTATGTATCATATCCAAGAGCGAGTCGATGATATCCGGACGATCTTGAGTTTGGCTCTTATTTTGACGATGATCATCAATTATCTGACTAAGAAAGGTATCAACCTCGATGAAAACGTTGTGAAATCTCTTATGTTGTCCAGACACAAAGTCTATAAACCATCCAAGACCAGCGATAGGGAAGAGATCAGAGATTTTGAAAGAAATAGTTCTCTGAGCTTTATACATCAATTCTTCGATCTTTTCCTTATCGACATGCTTGTTCTTGAAGAAACTCTGTCCAAAGGCAGTTCTGAATACGATACTTGCAGCTAAGTAAAAAAGGTTTTTACTTAAATCCACCGGAGAGTTCTTCAGAGCCGATTCCTTCAGTTTCTTGACCATAAAAACATTCTCTTCCTCTCTAATGTACCTAAAAGATTGAATCTTGTTCGTGCTGAAAAAGTTGAGAACAGAAAGCTTGCGCAACTCTCTCGAGACCTCTATTAGCAACAAGAATCTCAGAGAGAGAAAGTTGTAAAAGGATGATTTCTCATTAATGAACAGTAAAGTTTGTTACAATCGTTTATAGTATCCTATGACGTAAACCAAGAGTAAACCAAGACTAATTACATGTTAATTTACTCTATAAACCAGACATTCCAGAGCCTTTAACCAAACCGCTATATGTACATAACTATGTTCTATACACACGCTAATACACACGCTAATAGCCCCCCTCAAGATGGAGGTGCAAATATATTGCTAACTCCCATCTTGCCAATTAACTCTCTGAAAGGAGCAGGATGAAGTGCTTTGGTGAGAGTGTCTGCCAATTGATTCCCTGTTTTCACATACATTGTCTTCAAGAATCCAGAATCAATAGCTTCTCGTGTTTTATAGCAGTCAAGCTCTACATGCTTTGTTCGTTCGTGATATACCGAGTTGTTGGCAATATGCATAGCAGCGGTATTATCACAATACAAATAAGCAGGAGGAGAGAAAGGGACCTTCAAGTCATTGAGAATGCGTGAAAGCCAGATCATCTCCTTAGTGGCAAGAGCCATAGCTCTGAACTCTGCTTCAGTAGTGCTACAAGAGATCATCGTTTGCTTCTTGGATTTCCAGGAGACCAATGAATCTCCAATGAACATGCAGTAGCCAGAAACAGATCTCCGAGTATCTACACAAGCAGCCCAATCAGAATCTGCAAACCCACGAAGATCGTAGTTGTTGTCTGCAGAGTAAAAAAGTCCTTGACCAACTGTGCCTTTCAAGTAGCGCAACACTTTATAGACAGCCGTGAGATGTATGTCTCTGGGGTCATGAGAGAACTGACATAAAGTGTTAACCGCATAGGCAATATCAGGTCTCGTAATCTGAAGATACATGAGTTTCCCAAGCAGCTTTCGATATGACATTGGATCTGCAATAGGAACTCCTTTATCTTTTGACAACTTCACACTCGGATCCATTGGTATACTTGATGGTTTGCAACCCAAATATCCAGTTGTGGCCAATAGTTCCAGAGTGTATTTCCGCTGACAAACAGAAATGCCTTGAGCTGATCTAGCAATCTCTAACCCGAGAAAGTATTTGGCTGTACCAATGTCTCGAAGTTTGAAATATGATGCTAATTCAGTCGTGAAGGCTCGAACAAGATCATCATTGTTGCTGACAATAAGAATGTCATCAACATAGACTAACACTCCAAGAAACATACCATTATTGTATCTGGTGAATAAGATGTGATCGCCAACTGACTTTTCGAAACCCATAGAACAAAGAGTCGATGAGAGCTTCAAGAACCACTGTCTAGAAGCTTGTTTGAGGCCATAAATCGATTTATGTAGGCGACAAACAGCATTTGGTGGCAAGGGATCATCCTGAAGATCTGCATATCCAAGAGGTATCTTCATATAAATTTCTTCGTCTAAGTCCCCATTTAGGAAGGCATTCGAGATATCCAGTTGATTCACAAACCAATTCATCTTCGCTGCAAGAAGTAAAAGCATACGAACAGTAGCTAGCTTTGCAACAGGTGAGAAGGTTTCTTCATAATCCAAACCTTCTTGCTGTGTATATCCCTTGGCAACAAGCCTCGCCTTATATCTTTCAATACTTCCATCGGCATTGTGTTTGATTGTAAAAACCCATTTACAACCGATGGCAACCTTATTTGAAGGCAAAGTACATACACTCCAAGTATGAGTTCGTTTCATAGCACCTATTTCATCCTTCATTGCATCACAGTATACCTGCAAGTCTTTTGCTTCTGAATACTTTTGTGGTACAATTTGGTTAGTGATGGTGTTAAGAAAGGCACGGAAAGGCTCAGATAAGTATGAATAAGAGATATAATTTGCGATGGGATATAGTATATTACTAGTAGTCGTATAACAATGAAAGTCCTGCAAATGTTTTGGTGGTTTCTTTAGTCTGCGAGATTTAGATTCGGAAGGAACAGAAATCTCAGAAGATAACACATCAAGGGGTTGATGTGCATCAGAAGATGATTGCTCTGGAGGCAAATGATCATCATGGGAAGCAGGAAAGTGTAAATGAGGAAAGAAGGCTTTTGTATCATCCTTGAGATTAGAGGATACAAAAGGGAAAATATCCTCATGGAAAATGACATGTCTAGAAATGGAAATGACATATGTCTCTATATCTAGTAGCTTATACCCTTTGTAATCAGATGGATACCCTAAGAACACACACGCTTTGGCTCTAGGTTCGAATTTGTGTCTACCTTTTGGAGATGTGGAACTATAACATAGACAACCGAAACTCTTTAGAGACTCATAATCAGGAACTTTGGTAGTTAACTTCTCAAAAGGTGATTTGTTCCCTAGAACTGGAGTTGGCAATCTATTTATCAGAAACACAGCTGTTAAAGCACAATCCCCCCAAAATTCTAAAGGAACATTAGATTGGAACAATAGGGCTCTAGCTACATTCAATATGTGCTGATGTTTCCTTTCAACAACTGAGTTTTGCTCAGGTGTTTCAGGACATGAATGAAATGAGACAATGCCTTTTTCAGAGAACAATTCAGCAAATTTTAGTTCATGTGCATTATCAGATCTAACAGATTTGACCTTTGTCTTATATTGAGTTTCAACCATAGATATAAAACCAGGAAAGACACTCAAGACATCAGATTTGTTTTTCATCAAATAGATCCATGTAGCACGGCTAAAATCATCTACTATTGTCAGGAAGTACTTGAAACCATCAACAGTGGGAACTGAGAATGGACCCCAAGTATCAATGTGAACAAGCTCAAACAGTTCTTTACACATGTTTTGTCTAGAAGAGAAAGGCAAATGCTTTTGTTTTGATAAATGGCAAATATGACAAACTTGAGAATGGTTCTTATTATTATTAGCCCTTAAACTCAATACATCAGATAATACATCAAGTTTTGATTGAGAAGGGTGACCTAATCTCTTATGCCAAGTGACATTATCAACCTTAAAGCTAGAACAAACAGGTGTAATAGAACGCATAGAATCAGTACCTTTCAAAGAAACAGAATTACTAGATTTATCAACTTCCAAAACATATAGATTCCCAACTTGACTACCTTGACCAATCATCAATTCCTGTGTAAGTTCCTGAATAAAACAAGCATCAGAAGTGAAACTGACTTTAGACTTTAAACTCTTAGTAAGCACACTAACACTGATCAAGTTGAATTTGAACTCAGGAATATAAAGAACATTATGCAATGCAATGGCATCAGACAATTGAATGAGTCCTATGCTCTCTATCCTAACAGTGTATCCATTAGGTAAAGTGACAAAGGTTTTGTCTAAGGTCCTATACGTTAAATAAAGTTCTCTAGTGTGAGTGACATGGTGTGTAGCTCCAGAATCTATTACCCAAGCTCTAAGAGACAATGCCGGTTCCTTAGATATAGAAGATATTAGCATGTCATAGTAGGCATTTGAGTATAGTGTGAGAAATGTACCTGAAATCTGAGAGACAACAGGTGCGGAAGTGGAAGTCGAAGCACAAGGTTTGTTAGATATACCTTCAACAGATGACGAATGAAGTTTGGAGCTGAGATACGAAATCATAGTCTGTATCTGATCATTGGAGAGCTCATCTTGAGTATTGGTCTCTATATCTTGTTCAGAAGTAGTAAGATTAGCAGCACCAACAGTTTGAGACTTCTTCCATTTCGGACCAGATCCCGGAGGATAACCATGAAGCTTATAACATTTGTCTGCAGTATGCCCTGTTTTATGACAATGAGAACACTTAGGTTTCTGTGGACCTCCGTGACTGAGAAGAGCATGAGACTGATCTGGATTAGCAGATGTTTGAACTTGGAAAGCAGTAGGATTGGAGACAATGGAAGTAGGAGATCCACCAATATTCCTCTGACTTTCATCTTGATCAAGCATATTATAAATTGCTGTTAACCCCGGTCTCGGCTTCATGTTTAATATCTGTCCTCGGATGTTAGCAAAATTATCATTTAGACCCATAAGGAATTGGATAATTCTACTAGTTTCAGCATCTTCCAAGAGTTCTTGAACATGATCACAATTGCATCGTTTCACAGTAGACATCTTTGTATTAGCGAGTTGCTCCCAAAGTGTCTTTTTCTTGGTGTAATATGCAAACAAATCCATATTTCCCTGCTTGAGAGTCATAATGGCTTGTTCAAGTTGATATTTCCTCGGAAGATTGCTGACTCTGAATCGAAGAAACAGATCGTTCCACATTTCAACAGCATCGGCATAATACAGAATGCTATCATAGATTTCCTTGTTAACAACATTAAGCAACCACGACTTAACCATGCTGTTACACCTACTCCAGATCTTAAATGAAGGATCACTTTCATCAGGTCTAGGCAAGCTACCATCAACAAAGCTAAGCTTGTTCTTCGCATCTAAACTCATCTTCATAGCGATCGACCATGTATTATAGTTTGTTCCATCAAGAAGGTGAGCAACGATGGACAAACCTGGGTGATCAGCTGAATGAAGAAAGAATGGACTGTGGACATTGTCGAAGGAGTCTGTATTTGCAGATCTACCTCGATTGAGAGTGATTTGAGTTGGTGGAGTTATCGCGGCATCTGAATCAGCCATAGATGGAGAACCAAATTGAGATCCCGCTCTGGTCTTCATCGGAGAGATATTCAACGCCGTAGGATTTTGTCCACGAGATTTCTTCCCTTGTTTCACCATTATTGACGATCGAGACTCAAATGCGATGTTGAACACCAAATATAGCTTCAGAAACTGGAATTTGAAGTATCGGAGCTCAAACAAATCGCAGATTCGGTATCGGAACGAGATTTAAACGGTGAAATGAAGAAGAAACAAAGAAATCGAGAGAAATCGAAGCAGAATCAGAGAAATTCGAGCTGGAAAAGCTCTGATACCATATTAGCAACAAGAATCTCAGAGAGAGAAAGTTGTAAAAGGATGATTTCTCATTAATGAACAGTAAAGTTTGTTACAATCGTTTATAGTATCCTATGACGTAAACCAAGAGTAAACCAAGACTAATAACATGTTAATTTACTCTATAAACCAGACATTCCAGAGCCTTTAACCAAACCGCTATATGTACATAACTATGTTCTATACACACGCTAATACACACGCTAATAACCTCACCATATGGCGCAAAGGCTATGTCTTTACCGTTACGTGAGAACTTTGATAAGGCGTTGGTCATAGGTCGGTTACAACACTCAAGGTCATGAGTTTTGAGAGCTTCTTCGGCTGCTTCGCTAGATGAGAGAACTACCATTTGGACAAAACCTTGACGGAGAAGCAACACGGGTCCGTGTTTCTTGGACAGAACATGAAGGCATCTATGAAGCAACCCTTGGAGCTGGTGTAGATTTCCAATGATCGGAAGTTTTGTTGGGCCTGGAGGAAGATTATGGTTTGTGTTTTTGATCTTCTTGGTGTAGAATAAGGAGAAGAATAAAAAGCACGAAGAAAGATAGAAGAATCGACATTTTCTCTGTTCTGTATTCTTCTTTTGGTAATAGAAAAACAGAGACTATAAAAGAAACAGAGTTAAAAACATAGTGAATTCATATAAACGATGCAAACCGGTGCATCAAAACCTAACTTTTTCAGCAAAAATGATTCAGTGTTCAAACATAACGCCAACAACCCAGTGGGCGGCATAATGTCACCGTCAAAATAACATTTAATTCCCAACAACATGCTGTGTAACCACGAGTAAGAAAAAAGTTATATATATATATATATATATTAAAAATCAAAATCATCAAAATATGTGGATAAAATACATTTAATACATTTTATTAGACATTCACATATATTTATAATTTTAATTTCATTGCCGTTACTACTGGTTATCCCCTCCCAATCAACGCCTTATTTCTTTTAACAATTTGGATTCTCTGGATTACAAGGATGATCGCATTTTGGATCATATGGATTACAAGGATGATCGTAATAATTCACATCAACTCTGTTTGTATCCATGGCAACTAGTTTCTTCACATTAATTCCACTTGTATCCACGACTTTATTTGTATCCATTGTCCTACCTTCCACAAGATCTTGTCCTTTAAACGGGATAAAATGATTCCATCGTTCATATGTATTAAACTACAAAATGAAGTGTTTAGAAAAAAAAATAACTACAGACTAGAAAGTAGATTTACTTACAGAATATAAGAACAAGAAGAGAAACCAATAACAAAAGTTGAAAGGAAACTTTCTTCATCCTATAAAGAAAAATACTATAACTTTGCTTTTAGTGATAAAGTTAAACTATTCGACATCGCTCTTTATAGTGCAATGGTATGTTTTGGTTTGACCAGAAGATCTTGAAAGATTTAATTTCTAGATTTCATTTGACCATTAAATATATTCACTATAAAAAGCATGATTGAATATGGCAATGTATTGAATTTTGACATTTTGTATTACATTTCAAAAATTATAAGTGCATGAATCCATATATTTCTCGTTGGTCCCTTTTTGGAAACGTTATTTTATGACCCCCTGACCGCCCTTACCATTGGATTCAAAGCCTTTCCTCTCAGCTCTTGAGCCCACCCCTATCTAACAGTCCGTGCCTTGTTTGGGAGGTTTAGGATGAGCCTGCAATCACTTTGCCTTCACTCACACGGTACCGTGAATCACTTTTTGTGGGTCACTTATCCTGAAATTTTTTCCAGCTCAAACACACTTAATATATAATTCTCTCAAAATCAATATCCGAACATACTAGATTCTAACCCCGTGCATCCGCACGAGAATATTTTTTATTGTTTAACAAATTTTGTAATATAATTTGTATTTTTGAGTTTAGATATAATTATTTTTATAAATGTATTTTTTAATAAGTGAAAATATTGATTTTTGTGTTTAGATATATTTTTATAGTATTAAAATTAATTATGATTATAAAAATATAATTTTAACCCGTCCGCTAATATTAATTCAAAATGAACTATTATAAAAACATAATTCTATGATGACAGCCTTTTCTTTTGTAAAGCAAACAAGGAGGAATGTCTGCAGATATTGCAGGTGCTCCGCCAATATGAGAACGTTTCGGGTCAACAAATAAATTTTGACAAGTCGTCAATACAATTCGGGCATAAGGTCTCAGACATAGTGAAAAATGAGATGAAACAAATTTTAGGAATTCACAACATGGGGGAAATGGACTCATATTTAGGATTACCGGAAAACCTTGGGGGAACAAAGACCAGGATCTTCCAGCTTTTAGCTGACAGACAACAGGATCGCGTAAACGGATGGACATCCAACTTTTTATCAAAAGGGGGAAAGGAAGTACTAATAAAATCGGTGGCTTCCGCTATGCCAACTTTTGTCATGTCATGTTTTCGCTTACCAAAATCAATCACCACAAAGTTAACGAGCATCACGGCAAGATTTTGGTGGAACACGAAAGGTCAAGGAAAAAGAATGCACTGGCTAGCATGGCCAAAGATGTGCCGTCACAAATCGGTGGGGGGCATGGGCTTCAGGTCGCTAGAGAATTTTAATACGGCACTGTTGGCAAAACAGTTATGGCGATTAATAGAAAAGCCAGATACGCTGTTTGCGAGAGTACTCAAAGGACGATATTATCGGAATGCAGGTCCAATGGACAACATAAAGTCATATTCCCCATCTTACGGATGGCGAAGTATTATTTCAGCTCGATCTCTGGTTAACAAAGGGCTAATCAAAAGAGTTGGTTCTGGATGTTCCACTTCGGTTTGGAAAGATCCCTGGATACCATCTTCTCGCCCGAGATCAGCAATATATAAGGGTTATAATTATTACCCAAATCTCATGGTTAATCATCTCATTGATCCACAGACTAGTACTTGGAATATGGGGCTCCTCAATCCTATCATAGATCCAAAAGATGTGGAAATAATACAAGGGATGCCAATCAGCGCCTCATTTCGGCCGGATGTATTGGGTTGGCACTTCACAAAATCAGGCAAATATACGGTCAAATCTGGATACCAAATTGAACACCAAAACTCGGAAACAGAAACACAAAACCTATATGGACCTACTTTCGAGCCCTTATTAGTAAAACTATGGAAACTGAGGTGTCCCCCTAAATTACACCATTTTCTATGGCAAGTACTGTCCGGTTGTCTGGCTGTTGCCAAAAATCTGAACAACAGAGGAATCAAATGTGATGCACAATGCAATCGATGTGGGGCAGAGGAGGAAACGATCAATCATGTTTTATTTGAATGTCCACCCGCAATGCAGACGTGGGCTTTGTCACAGTTCCCAACACCTACGGGAGTTTTCCCAGGAAGTTCTATTTATGGAAATTTGGATTATTTGTTTTGGCGTACACCACCAGGAATTTTTAATGAATCATACCCATGGATAGTATGGTACATTTGGAAAGCAAGAAATGACCAAATATTCTCAAACATAGACAGGGATCCACGATTAACGCTTAAATTAGCAGAAACGGAAAGCCTTTTATGGATTGAGACACAAAAATCGGTAACTGAAACGGAAATACACCATCCTCAATTGCCATCACACCCGACCTCCTTTAATAAGGGATGGTGTTCGGTGGATGGTTCTTGGAAGGAGACAGATAAAAAATCAGGTATAGGATGGTATTATAGGAGCGAGGAATCCAACGAGACCATAATGGGGGCACAAAATTTACGACGCAGCTTATCTCCTTTACATGCAGAAGTAGAGGCACTATTATAGGCAATGTTGTGCATGATTGAAAATCAGCGAAGAGAAGTAGTTTTTGCAACAGACTGTTCTGATGTGGTGAAGATGGTGTCGGCACCAACGGAATGGCCAGCATTTGCACTACAATTGGGGGAAATCCAGAAATCCAGAGAGAAGTTTCTTTTTTTTCAAACTGATCCACATACCACGAGCGAAGAACACCAAGGCGGACGCATTAGCTCACAGCGCTAGAGTCTATCCATGGAATATGATTTATGTGAACTCATCTCCACCGGTTTGGTTAACACCTTCGGTTTAAGAGAAGAGGCTGTTGACAAAAAAAAAAAAAACATAATTCTAATTTTTCGGTTCATATTACCGTATAATATAAATATTTGTTAAAAGTTTGAGATATATTAACAGTATTATTTAGCATTATAGTTTTCTAAAATTTAATCAACGAAGGGAGTGTACAGCTGGTTTTTCAAACTACATTATAGTGTATGCAATAATTTTTAATTTTTTTTTTATGTTTTGATTTTGTATGAAAAATATATTTTCGATATACATGTATATTTCAAATTTAGTGATATTAGTTACCAAAATATTTTTAACCCGATTTTTTATATATATTTTTAGTTCTATAAATTTTTAAAAAATATATTTTTAATATTTAAATTATACATTTGAATTTTACCTATTATTTTATTATTAATTTGTAAATAAATCATAATCGTAAATATACTTTATAAACAACATAAATATCATATCATTTACATCATTATAAATATTTTATATTTCAAATATGACCATTATTTTTCATATGTGAATTTTTTTTTTCAAAAATTCTAGATATTTTTGACAAAAATGTTTAATAGTATAGAAGTTATTTAAATTAGAATCTTTAAATCAAATCTAAATTAATATCTGATTTATTATTTTTAATCAAATCAAATCAAATCTAAATTACCTATATTTAAGGAACTAAAAATATTTAAATTAATAACTAATTTTCGAAATTAAATATAAATAATTATTAAAATTATTTTTAAACACTTAAAAAAAAGTTAGGAGTGTTTGGAAGCAAATACAAAATGTGCTTCTGTTTTAATATAATAGATATAGCCGAATCAATTTTTATAAACCTCTTTACATATATCAGAAATCAGGATGCTACATTTGTAATACATAGATCTTTTAAGAAACATTTTAGTATTTTATAATTTTTACTGGCAAAACTATAAATTAATAATGTTGGAACTACAATCTCTATATTATTATTTGAGTAAACATTTAAAAAAACAACCTTTATTTTACAGATTATTACATGAAATGCCATTACAAATAATAAAGAATATTTATAATAGGAAAGGATATAATTGTCTTTCAAAATTATTAAAAAAATGAAAGACTGTGTTTGTTATTTAATAGAGTAGATTTACTATTTAATTTCTAACTATAAAGATATGATAGTTTTTATATTTTTTATTTCAAATAATATTATTTAATAAATTCAATTAAAAAACCTGAGAAAATATTTTTTTCTCAATTATTCAAATGTAAAAAAATCAAAATAAAAAGTTATAATATTAAAAAAAAATATTGAATACTTTATCTGCTATATTTTACATGATCATATATAATTTTTTAAAAACTATTTTTATCAAAAGTTTGACTTGAGAAATTTTTTTTTAAATCCATGGTGGAATGAGAGTCATTAAACGGTGCATATTAGAATTAATGTTTTTAAAATTATATTTACATCAAGTGAAAAACAGGTTCAGTAAACGGTTTAGTCTGA